ATCTTCCTTCCTTCTAAGGAACAGCCCAAAGTGCTGCCAACCCCTGATTATTCATGAAGGGCCCAGAAGCCCATGGAATACTCAGGTCATTGCATGGCTTATGAGAAAGACTGGGTAGACAGACTCACCCTAACACCTGCTTTCTCTTGATAACTCACGTCTTAGCCATTTGCACATTTAGATGCTAAGGTGGTAGACTTCATGTTTAGAAAATATTTTTCATTTCAGCCAAACTCAAACTTGGCTTTGCTTGTCAGTGGTTTGTACCATGCCAGAAGAGGAGATGGCCTTCCTTCTTTGTCTCTCTTTACACTTTTTCCACTGGAAAACAATTCCAATTAGGAGTTTCTTCAATTGCATCATTGCTTGCTATTAATTTGCATGGATAAATTTAAACTTTGTTTTATCCAGGTCACAAGGTAGAGTTACTCGGAATAAATATTTAACTTTTCCAGCTGACGACAGTCCAGCGATAAAAGTCTTCCAGCTAATGTTTCTTCCTGAAACTTGAACTTTGGAATAGGTATTTTCCTGTTACTGGGGCATACACACATGCTAATTTGTTTACAATAGCTAGGGTATGCCACCACCAGGTTTGCTGGATTAAAAGGAATAACACATTTCAATTACCAAGGACTAGGTGGGGCAGAGGGGAAATATACATTGTGTCATTGTTTTTTATTATCTACTTAGGGCCCTGTAAGTTTTAGAAACCAAAATGACTGTAAGATTATTTTTAATTAATTACAGACAATGGAGGAAATAAAGCAGACAGTTGGCATGCTTTACTTGGCTGAACCCCAGAGATCCTCCAGTCTTTATCCCTGTGAAGCTGGTGTCACAGGTGTGTTCCAGGACCCCAGGATGATACCTTTGTGCTGGGGTCCAAACTCCAGTTCTTCTGGATGCAGGGCAAGCATTACTCTGTCACATTCTCTCCAGCTCACCTTACCCTCTCTTTCCAAAGTTTCCCCAAAGATTTTGTTTTTTATTTGTATGTGTGTATGCACACGTGTACATTTGTGGGTTTTGTTTGTGTATGTGTGTATATGCACATATGTGCATTTGTGGAACTTTTTTGTTTATTTGTATGTGTGTATGCTCACATGCGTATTTATGAGACTCTGCTTGTTACAGGGTGCTGGGGTCTGAACTGCAGTCCTCATGATTAAGCAACAAGTACTAATCACTGGGTCATCTTCCTGGCACCACCTTGACCATCTTTAAGTGGCATTAAATACAGACACAATCATGTACTTTCTTCACTACCACCTATCACAGAACTCTTCTTGCAAAACCATTAAACACTAGCTACCAGTTGCCCTTCCCTGGGTCCTGGCAGCACCACTCTGTCTGCTCAGACCCCATTCTTCCAGCTTATGTCTTTGAATGTGGGTGTGGACTGTGGGGTGCACTTGCTGTGCTCTTCCATCGACCTCCTCCATCACTGCTCTCCCTTGTCCAAATTGTCCCTGGCATAAATGCCAGTGAGGGTTGTAAGGCAGATCAGCCTCTGGGGTATGGCATTATTAGCTTCTATCCCCTTTGCTTTGGACTTGAGATATTTGTATGTATGTATGTATGTGTATGTATGTATGTATGTATATATATATATATTTAATTTTGAAAGTAAAATATAATTATATAATTTCCCCCTTCCCTGTCCTCCAGGCGCTCCCATGCACCCTCATCCCTTGTTCTCAAATTCATGGCCTCTGTTTATCATGTCTCATGTTCTACTCTTGATGGGAAGAGCAGCATCTATTTAGTTTAAGATGTGTGAACACTGAGCACGCAATCAACAGCTTTCAGAATCCAGCAGAAATACGTGCCATATTTACTTCCTCCAAGGTTGTGCCAAACATTACACACAAAACACAAAGGTTACACACAAAACAGGAAGGTTGCACATAAAAACACAAAGAAAGTAATGTGTGCTAGTGTTCCATGAATGAAATAAATAAATGAATTTAACTTGCTACAGTAGAGAAAACTTGAGCTGGGAAAAATATTCTTGGGACTGGAGAGGTGGCTCAACAGCACTGTCTGCTCATGCAGAGGACCTGAGTTTGGCTCCTAGTTCCTTGATGGTGGCTCAAAACCATCCTTAACTCCAATTGCAGAGAACCTGATGTCCTCTTCTGGCTCTGTGGGCCCCAAGAATACATGTAGTACATATACATACACATAAGCAAAACAATACATACACATGTAAGAAAAAGGCATACTTAAAATGTACTATTAGCACTTATATTCCTTAGGTTTGCTTCATAATTCTATGTGTGATCTTATATATTGCATTTTTATTAACATTTATTTTCACTTATTTATGTTCAAATGAAGAATAATTAGCTATTAATTAATTACATAAGTTTATATTTGCATATTTGTATTTCAGTATTTAGTTTTATGTGAGTAAAATATATTTTCAGTGTAACAATTCAAATAAATTATATTATTTCCATATGGACAAGAGAAGATATTTAAGATTCCTACATTACCAACTGAAGACAACCATTGTTACCTTCTCGGTGTTCCAATCTTGTAGTATGTGTCTGTACAGATATATATGTAACAAAATTTAAGTATGGTTTTGCGTTTTTTGTTTTGTCTTTGTTTGTTTGGGTTTTTGAGACAGTGTTTCTCTGCGTAGCTCTGGCTGTCCTGGAACTTGCTCTGTAGACCAGATTAGCCTTGAACTCACAGAGATCCACCTGCCTCTGCCTTATAAGTGCTGGGATTTAAAAGGCATGTGCCACCACAAATTATGTTACTTTTAATGTTGCTTTGTGACTTATTCAGAATTGAACATTTTTCTGATTGAGAAAAACAGTGACAACTTTTGGAGTATATATAATTGATGACTACTCAAAGTAATATATGGTTTTTCAAGACAGAGTTTCTCCGTGTAACTTTGGATCCTGTCATGAAACTCACTCTGTAGACCAGGCTGGCCTCAAACTCACAGAGATCTGCCTGCCTCTGCCTCCCAAGTGCTGGGATTAAGGCATGCGCTACCACTGCCCAGCTTGTCTGATATTTTCTATAATGCCTATTCTTCTATTGGGGATAGCATAGTCTTGTTATAGGTGATGGTAACTGTGTGTTTTCTATCAAAGAAAACCAGAAAGGTAATTTTCTCAGATATGATTAATTAAAGTCTGCTTTTCAAACTTTATTTCTTAAATATTTCATTTTTTTAGACCATTTTTGGTTTGTATAAAAATTCTTGAAGTTCTGAGAGTTGTCAAATCCCTCTGTTGGTGTATCTGCAGCGTGTACTGTGGTTGGTGTCCCTCACTAGAACAGTGCCCTTGTACACTTGCTCCCCAGCTTGTAGCTGACGTGGGGTTTGTTCCTGGCTGTCGTATGCTCATGTCCCGACTCTGAGTTAATGCCCTGTGTGCCACATCCTGTACACCATCCCTCTTAGAGCCAGCCACCTGCTGGTTTTTATACTGTTCTTCTGGTAATGGTGATAGGGAAAGAGGAGGAAGGAGGGAGGGAGGGAGGAGAGAAGGAAAGAGCATTTCTAAGTGGAAAAAAAAGAGAAGCCTGGTACATGTTAGTTAAAAGACGCCTTCGTTTTCCTATTGTCTGCGACTTACTGCAGTGGTGACTCTGGGTTGAATGAGATCTTGGCTATGCATAGCTGAACCTTCTTCCTCCTTTCCCTAGTAAGGCGACAGGAATGTTCTCTTTGATGTGTTGAGCTGCTACTTGCCTAGTCTACATTTTCTGGCTGTTTTAACTGCACTGCATAGCAGTTTTGTGAAGTCCGTGTATAATTGTAATTGTGTGGGCCAGTAAGAGGCAGATGTAGGGAAGAGCTAGGGCCGAGGCTGGTGGCAGTCGGCCAGGTGGATCTGGCCAGATCCCCAAGGGAAACATTCTAGAATACTAAGTTTGTTACGTTTAATGACATTTTGAAAGTACCTGTGATGATACTTCCTGGCAGTGCATGTAAACGGAGTTGAAGTGGTCTGTCCATGTCAGAGATCCCTGTCTAGTTTGAGTGGGCAGAGGGGATCCAAATCATTTTATAAATAGATATCCTTCTGAGGTCAGCTCACACTTATGCAAGGGTGATATACTCAGAAAAGCAGTGTCAACTAAAATGGCCTTAAGTTTCTTTTAGACATTATCCATAAAAATGTATATGACTGGTCCTTAGTCCACTGGGGCAGGATGACCATAAAAGTGGTGTATCTGACTGATCCCTGGTCCACTGGGACTAGGAGAACGTGAGAGTCAGCTAGATAGTTTGCTGGGTTAAGGCACCTGCTGTGAAACAGGACAACCTGTTGATCCCAGGACCCATATGATGGGAGGAGAGAACTGACTTCTCCCTCCTCATGTGCCCTGTGGATACACACATCTGCACATACATCCCCACATGAGAAATACATCTAATAATAAGTTGGGGGTTTTGAGATGAACTTGTGTGTATTGTGGTCTTGAGTTTGTCTGACCTGACAATGTCCATGACTCCGCTCTGGGCCCAAGCTGGTCAGTAGTCCATGAAAAGGGTTGGCAGGGAAAGTTTCAGAAGGTTGGCCTTGCCAGAGAGACAAGAAAACAACTTGCTTGTTAGTAGCTTGCTTGACAGTTTCTGATTGGGTCTTGTTTGCTTATGCAATAACCCCAGGTGTCAGGGCCACCTCTGTCCCCTGTTAGCTTTCCAACCCCAATGAGAAGATGGTTTCTGTGCCCCCATCACCTGTCCCCACTTCTCGTGCTGCTCTGAGGTGGTCACCGCTGCCCTCCGCTCATGCTTGCCTTCTGTGAAGCCAAGAAGAATGTTTGGTTTGTATTTTCTTGAATTGCTAGATACTCCATAATGTAAGATATTTGTAAAGATTTATGAAGCTGAACTGGTTTTAACTCTGTCCTTGAGTTGGGCTTTTCTTTCTCTTCCTTTTTAGGAACACTGTGTAAAGAGCAGCAGACACACCTGCTGTTTGTAACACTGATAACACAGGTCCGTTTCTTCCCAACAGGAGCTGTCTAAGATCACAATGCCGGTCATATTCAATGAGCCGTTGAGCTTCCTGCAGAGGCTCACTGAGTACATGGAACACACTTACCTCATCCACAAAGCCAGCTCGTTTGCCGACCCTGTGGAAAGGATGCAGGTATGTGGCAGTGACCCTTGGGAGAAGTGTACGTCTCAGACACTTGTTTCTCACCTCCTCCCCAGCCCACTCACAAGCACAAATCCTCACACGTGTGAAGGCAATGACATACATGCTCACACACATGTCTACTGGTGTGAAGTTCCGCTGGGGATAGGGTATTCTCAGAGCTTCAGAGTCTTTTGCATTCAGTCCCCCTGACCATCCTCTGGGGATTGTAACTAGTGAAGACTGAAGGAGATTTAAAGACCCACAGAAGAGTCGCACAAGCACAGCTGGCTATGGGGGGCTCTTCCCCAGTCTTCAGATTAAAAGGTAGCATGTAGTGATGAGGAAATTGACATTTTTTATTTCAAACTTTATTAAGGATCTTCTCAAAAAAGATTAATATAGTTATAGATGCATGTTTATGCTGTATGTATGCTCCAGTATGCCTGTTCATAAACACTCAAGTAACAAGAAGTTGAACTTTTTAATTTTCAAAATCAAAGATGTTTGTGTGGTGTAGGTGGATGTTAAGACACAGGCCAAGTACAATAGATAATATGCTTATCCAGACAAAACAGTGTCTGTTCTTCCATTCGTATAAATGGTATTTAACTTCTTTGGTATCTTATCCAGGGTTTCTATTGCTGTGATAAAACACCATGCCCTTAAGAATCTTGGAAAGGAAAGGGTTTATTTCAGCTTACAGTTCCACATCACAGTCCATCACTAAGGGGAGTCATGGCAGGAACTTGGAGGCAGGAGCTGATGCAGAGACCATGGAGGGGAGCTGCTTACTGTCTTGTTCAGCCTACTTCCTGTAGGACCTAAGAGCACAGCCCAAGGGTGGCACCACCCACAGTTGGCTGAGCCCTCCTGATCAATCCTCATCAAGCACATGCAGCCCGGGCTGGCCCACAGGCCAATCTGGTAGGGAAAGTTTCTCAGTTACATTGTTTAGTTTTGCATCTCTTTTTCTACACAATCACGAACTCAACCAGCCTCAGGCACACTGTGTAAAGAATAGAACTACACCTTTAACTGAATATGTAGTCTTTTTCTTTGCTATCATTCCCTGAGGGAAATAACAGTTTTTTACATTGTCTTAGCTATTATAAACAACTAGAAAATATATAGTATATACAAGAAGGTGTGTTTAAGTTAAAAGCATGTGCTGTGCCATTTTACAAGGCTTGAGTGTGCACAGACTGACACCTGGGGTGTATGTTAGAACCAGTTCCTCTCAGCAACAACTGGGATTTAAAGTTTTAAAAACTTTTACATATTAGAAATTTTTAGAATTTACAGATTAGTAAAGCTTTTACATATAAAACTTCAACATATTAGAAGTAACTGGCCTAAAGTGTCTGAAAGCCCTTGGCACAGTTGGAGCGCTCACAGGGTATCACAAAAGCCGTGTGTGCCTGAGAAGAGCACTGTAGGAAGAGATCCAGGGCTTCTGTTCTGAGTGGATGAGCTCCTGCAGTAGCTCAGAAAGCCCGATTAAGAACCACACGGATTCAGCTGCTCACTGTCTTCTGTGCGGCTTTGGCTCCGGAGAGAGGGTCGCGAACTGGCTGTTAATTCTTGTGCAATGCTCTGCTCTGTTCCAGTGTGTAGCTGCATTTGCTGTGTCTGCTGTTGCTTCTCAGTGGGAGCGTACTGGAAAGCCCTTCAACCCACTTCTGGGAGAGACTTATGAATTAGTTCGGTGAGGTCTTTCGTGCCGTTCTAGATGGCTTGTTGAATGTGCATGACTTAATAGACTTTTTTTCAATGAAGGAAAATGGGTATTTTTGAGTTTCCCTAAATAATTTTTTTGTGACTGGAACACATCAATTATTTTGATGTCGGTGTCTAGGAAAATAGACATACAATGTACCACCATAAAACACAATTGCAAGGTTTCAGTGTTCCTGATCTTCTAGGATTAACTAGCCTCCTTTTTTTTGGTAGATCACATGACACCATCATGGTTTTAGGGTTTCTATTGCTGTGATAGAAAACCATGACCAAAACCAACTCTGGGAGGAAAGAGTTATTTCACTCACTGCTCCATATCACTGCTCATTGTTAAAAGCAGTGAGGACAGGGCAGGAACCCAGAGGCAGGAGCTGCTGATGGGCTGGCTCAGCCTGCTTTCTTCTAGGGCCCAAGATCACAGCCCAAAGATGGCACCACCCACAATGGACTGGGCCCTCCCCCTGTCAGTCACTAATTTAAAAAATGCCCTAAAGGCTTGCTTACAACCTAATCTTATATGGAGGCATTTTCTTAATTGAGGCTCCCTCCTTTCAGAGATAAAAAACTAGCCAACACATCAGGGCAGAAACTCAAGACAGGAACTGAAACAGACGGTGGAGGAGTGTGGTTTACCGGGTTGTTTGCTCACCCTGCTTTCTTACACTATCCAGGACCACCCACCCCAGGGGCAGCACTGCCAACAGCCAGGCAGGCAGGGGCTCCCACACCAACCATTCATCAGGAAACTGTCCTGCGTGCTTGCTATGGGCCGATGGGTTTGTGTCGAGTTGAGAAAAACCAACCTGCACACTAGGAATGGTGGTGCATATGATCCTAACACTCAGGAGGCAGAGGCAAATGGATCTCTGCCAGCTGCTATATCCTACAGATCAGGCCACAGAACCCCACCAATCCCCAGCCACCCTGGAAAGCTCTTCCTCCTCCCCCAAACCCTATATAAAGCCTGCCTTCTGCTCACTTTGCTGTTTCTCTCCCTAGCAGAGGCAGCCACCCTCCTGTGTTCTTCTCAGTTAGTCTCTTGTGAGATTTGTTGTGCCATGTGACTTTGTGGCACTCCTTGGCTAACAGTAGTAGTCATTGTTCTTATTACTGTCACCAAAATACAGGAGCTCTTGAAGGAGGAAGAGCCTGCTTTGCTTTGTAGCTGGAGAGGATACAGGAAGGGCATGACAGGGATGGCATAGCTGGAGGAATGTGTGGAGCTGGTTCTATTGCATCTGCAGTCAGGAAGCAGACAGCAGAAGGGTTCCATGCTATCAAAGCTCCCAACCAACCTCCAGTGATTCACCCCATTAAGGCTCCACCTCCTGAAGGTCCCACAGCCTTCCAAAACGGCACTAGCAGCTGGGGACCAAGGTTTCAAAAGTACGCACAGCCATAATGTTTGTGTAAATCACCCAGTTCATACGAATGTTCTATATTTCAATATGATAGTAAGCAGCTAGCTCCAACAGCATGAAACAAAAAATAGCTCAGGTTATGTTTGTGTTGTCCCTCGTGTTAGGTTGTACTGTGATAAGGTTGATAATAAAAATTGTTTTTCTTCATTCAACATTTTCTTAAATGTTTTAACACATACAGTGACAGTTAATTGCAACGATACATTTGTTCTTTTTTGTTTTAATCTGAAGAGATGACCTTGGATTTAGACTCATCTCAGAACAGGTCAGCCATCACCCCCCAATCAGTGCGTTCCACGCAGAAGGGCTAAACAATGACTTCATCTTCCATGGCTCAATTTACCCCAAACTGAAGTTCTGGGGGAAGAGTGTTGAAGCAGAACCTAAAGGAACCATCACCTTGGAACTTTTAGAGTAAGTACAGGAGAACCACTCTGTCTTGTGTCTGCACATGCGCAGGCAGGCCACGCTGTTCTAGCCGGGAACAAGAAAGACACAGCATTCATGAGTGCTCATTGCTGGCCAAGTGAAAGACTTCACAAAGCGTGGGAGTGGCCACTGTCAACGAGGCTGGACCAGCCATTAGATAGATAGGATTAACTCTGTGGCAGCTTATGAAACTAGTTTCTGGATGCCATGGTGCCCAGGCTTTGTTTAAAGGATCCTTCTAAATTAATTCACCCTGAAAATTTTTGAAATGACAGTTGTGTGACATGTTGGACATTGGGTTGTTTGGGAGCTCTCTTCTGCAGGGTTAGCTTTAAAGGCTAAAGCATTTCTAAGTAAGCTCACATCTACTCCACTCTCCCACCTGCTGACTGGGACTAGAAACCCTGGGCAGAAGCCACAAAGCAACATCCTGGGACTTTGAACAGTAACGACAACAGACTGAGAGAAAAGTCAAGTTTTGCAGTAAGATTCCTGGTTTTATATTTTCCTCCATGCTAAGAGTCTGAGCAGCAAATTACAAGATGTCATTAGAAGCAAACAGAAGGAATTCCAAAAGAGACCCTCTTGTCTTTCCTTAGAGATCCCAGCAGGAGCCCCTAAGAGACATAAAGACTACTGAAAATATGACTTGGGTTCTCCCCTAGTCTTTTCCCAAACTGCTGCTCAGGCCTCTGGTTCTCTCCTCTAACAGCCGCTGCTCCTTCAGTCACAGTGGCTGCAGCTGAGAAAACACCCCGCAGCCACAGGATCTGGAAGGGAATGAGAACAACTGGTGTTGTCCCAGAAGTAGGTCCAGAAGCTCAGACCCCAGTTGAAGGGTAGAGGTGGTATCCTGAAACACAAACGTGTGGTGGGAGGGATACCATTCCTCTCCTCAACCAAGCTTCATGACCTTCCCCCCAGATGGTGCACCAAAGGCACTGAGATCTTTGGCCAGAGACCCAGATCCCTGCCTAGCAGCTGCAGGGTGCATCTGAGGAGCATTACAAAGACTTTGGAAATTGTAGTGACAGAATCAGGGTCCACAGGAGGGTTGGGACTTATGGACTGAAATTATGTTAATTGCCTCCAATCAAAACCAAAGTCAGTATTCTCTAGATTTCAAGAGGATAACAAATCTCATAAAACTCAAGTATACTGAATATAATTCAGAATATTTGGCTTTACTAAGAAACTGAAGGAAAAAAAAAAACCCTCAACTCACAGTGAAAGGCAGTCAACAGCCTCTGACCCCAGAATGACCCAGTTCGTGTCACCCTGCTGCTGAAGATAAAGGTGACCAGAGCTGGCTATTCTACGTGGAAGTAGTTGGACATTTTAGTACCAAAACACGTAGCAAGGGGAGTACAGTGAGCAGGACGTGCTCAGGAGCAGCATGAAGGTGGCGGAATATGCGGGAGTCTGAAACTGCCGTGATGGAGGGGACTCCCTGGAGCCTCGGTCCAGTTGTGATGCTGATTCTTCCCAGGGACCTACGAGTAGTTTCCATAAAGCTAGATCCGAACCTGGGGTGGGGGGAGCGGGGTTGGTCCCCCATGTAAAGCTAGAGCTCACTGATTGAGCTAATCTAATCGACCAGCTTGCCCAGGGGATCCTCCCCTTCTGAATTCTAGGGTAGCAGGAAGGCCATTCCCACCTGGCATTTCTGTGGGTGCTAGATGAAGACTCTGGTCTTTATGTGGACAGCACAGCTTAAGAGCCATCTCCATAAGGGGTGGGAGCGACTCTGTAGGCATAAAGGAATTGATTTTAAATTTATATGGAAAAGCAAATGAAATTGAACAACGAAAACTACTGACGATTTTGAGAAGGAACAAAACAGCTAAGGTGCTGAGCTGAGACCAAGATTTAGCTTCAGTGGCATCACTGCAGCAGAGCAGGGAAGAGTCCGGAAACGAGCGCCACAGAGACGTGGTCAGCATAAGCCATGGACTAGGAAAGTCAAACTGTAAAGCTTTGGGGGGAAGTAGAAACTGTTCGGAGTTCGTGTTAGGTAGAGATCTAAATGGGAAAGCCCAGTGCACAAAGACTGGCTCAGAGTCTGCGTTAGGTTACAGCTCTCTCTGAGTGACACTATGCATGAAAGACAGGCTGTAGACTGTTAGAAATGACATGCTAACTAAAGGGTGTTGTCTAGAATATATAAAGACCCTAAAATAATTATAACTCGACAAAGGCTTTGTACCATGATGAGTTTTGAGGTTTGGGTTGTATAGTTGGTTTGGAGTAAACTGGAAGGGAACCGTCTCTGGGAAATGCCTGGCAGACCTTCATTTTCATTTTCTACCTCTAATGTTTCTGTTCGTGTTTCACAAACTCTTGAATACAGGTCAAATATTCCTTTTCATAAAGGCCTGGGAGACAACTATTTCATATTTAGGATACTTTGGATCTTGGAATGTCGTGTAGCGTTTGCCAGTTGAATGAACTGTCTGAAAGTCCAAGGTCCACAATGCTCTGGGATCAAAGGCCTTTTGATTTTCTTGTCAGTGCAAATGTTTGGGAGTTTGAACTTTTGAATTAGGGACATTCAACTTGTGTATAGTTTATTTTTAAAACAGTAAGAATGGATAGGTAATACCTGTTTTACTGTGAGTTAATATCAGTGTGGAGTGTGTATGCATCCATACGTGTGTGTGTGTGTGTGTGTGTGTGTGTGTGTGTGTGCCTACGTGTTTGAATGTGTTTGTAGAGGCCAAAGGTCAGTCAGTCTATCAGATTTCTTCTGTTGCTGTCCACCGTTTGAGACAGTGTCTCTCTGACTGGAACCAGTGGGCCCTGCTTCCATTGCTATGGTTCCAGGTGTCTTTCACACGGTTGCTGGGGATTGAACTCAAATCCTTGTGCAGCGGGCATGTTACCACTGAGCCAGTTCCCAGCTTGATTAGTTGTTATGAATGACTCTTGAAGCAAGCTCATTTGTTTAGACTAATTGGTTCTTCTCAACTACTTCTCTGGGTTTGGGGATTTTTTTTTTTTAGACACAATGAAGCGTACACATGGACAAACCCCACGTGCTGTGTGCACAACATCATCGTGGGCAAACTCTGGATTGAGCAGTACGGCAATGTGGAGATCATAAACCACAAGTAAGGCGCACGCAGGCTCCACCTGTGCTCTTCGTCAGTCCCTTCCAGAGGCCTTGTGCGGGCACTGCTGATGGGAGGTGGGTGGCTGTGGAGAATCGGTCAGCAGTGCTGCTGCCAGGAAGGCCGTCCGCTCACTCTTCTCAACTGCTTCCTTGGCATTGCACCGCCATGTGAATTTAGCCTTTGTTTTGTAGGACTGGGGACAAATGTGTGTTGAATTTTAAGCCTTGTGGTCTTTTTGGCAAGGAATTACACAAAGTTGAAGGCTACATACAAGATAAAAGGTAAGGTTTCTTTTTCAACATTGACTGCAAATGCTTATTTTGATATTTGTGTTCAAGCGTGCTGCCTGATAAACTTGCATTTGAATAACAGAAGTCTTCCGAAAGGAAATACCTGTTTTTCTAAAGGATGGACTTATAAAAATATAGTAACATTAACTCCAGCACAGCATGGGTTTGATTGGTAACTAAACAACAGTCTCTCTCGGCAGCAAAAGGAAACTCTGTGCTCTCTACGGGAAGTGGACTGAGTGCTTGTACAGTGTTGACCCTGCCACTTTTGACGCCTACAAAAAGAACGATAAGAAAACCACAGAAGAGAAGAAGAATAGCAAACAGGTGAACACACTGCGTGGTACTGGCACCTGGACTCTTGGATGTGTATAGATGTGTGTGGGCCCTTCTGGCACCGCTGTGTCTGGGGCCCACTTTGGCAGTGTTGCTAACACGTGGATTCTTCTCCTTGCATCTTGTGAATGAACAGATAGCTGTCCTTCTTAGGTGAAAATGTTGGGCTTGAGCTGCTCGTGGCTGGTGCGCACGATTAGTGTTGCTTTGGAAAGTTGGTCCCCATCTTGATGACACAGTGGTGTGTTTCCCTCCTGTTCTTGTGTGCTAGAGGTAGAAATGATCCAAGTTTGTAGGCCCCGCTCAGGCATTCCCAATCGCTGTATCACTGATGTTGGTGCCGTCAGTTCAGGCTGTTGTACTTGCGCTGTGGTCTTCACGCTGAACCTTATTTGTGGAACATTCTCATCCCAGTCACTGATAAGAGCAAGGCTGCTGCCTGGCTACAGGCATGCTTTAGCATTCTACTGACTTGTGTCTGCTTCCTGCAATCAGAGTTGCTATGAGCCAATGGGGACAGAAAATGCCCATGTGGAGCCTGGCCAGGAGAAGTGGGGACTCTGGGTTGGAAGCAGTCTCTCATTTGTGAGCAGTGTAAGCTCAGATCATTTCTAACCCTTGACCTCTGGATGACACCTCTAAAATGGGTGTCTGAACAGCACCTCTTTGCTAGGTGAATGGAAGTGTTTGCTTGACTTCGTGAAGGTCTCAGAACAGTCTATGCTCTGGGTGAGATTAATGGCAGCCTCTTTGCTCCAAGTATGTTCCCGTCTACCAGCCAAGCATTGTCTGATAGCTCAGTAAACGTGCCGGCTGAATCCTGACCCCCAGACTTACACCTATCAGATTATAAAGCTGGGCCTTATGGATGTTTCTTTCTTTTAAAAAATTCTTTTCGTTAGCATACTAAGTGATGGGTTTTCTGTTGACATTTGTGTACATACGTTTGCTCATATTTGCTGTCTCATCACCCTCTTTCCTTCCTGTTTTCCTGTTCTCTTCTTGCCCTTCCTCCTAAATACTCACTTCTACTCTTCTGGTGTGCATGTGTGTGTAACCTAGACCGTCCACATGAGAGACTATGTGCTAGCTGTCAAAGTCCAGCTTATTTCGTTACACATGATCACCTCCACTTCTGTTTGTCTCCTCGTTAACTCTTAGGCATTCAGAGGTTTTTCTCAGAGGCTGGTGGCACATTTATTCATTGTAACTTTGTAATTAGGAGCTAGCCTTGGGCTTGAGGGACAGTTTTGTTTAACCGTTGGAGCTCTAGCCTTCCTCAGCTGCGTGTGCATAACTCCTCCTCCTATTCCTGCCTACATGCGCCTCCTCTGGGAGGTCCACCCGCTGCCCTTTGCAGGGTACCTTAGTGGAATGAAGAAGGAGATGTCCCAGAGCCCCAAGTCACCGACACAGACCGCATGGCCACAGCTCCACTAGGAGAAGGAACTTGGCAGAACAACTTCCTGAGTACACTGGTCATCCAGCGCTCTTACATAGTGTGGACAGCAAAGGACTCTGGCCAAATTCCAGAATACTCTTATATTCTGTTCTTTATAGAAAAGCAGCCTTTCCTTCGAGCTCTCATTCCTGGTCCGCCTTCTTCCCAGGTGCAGCCTTCCTGTTGCTGTCGCTGCTCCTGCGCATACTCCGTGCTCTCGGGTAGCCTTCACTGGTGCCGTGCCTCCCTTGCTGTTGGCTCCACTGTGTATTCCCTGAACGTGCCTCGACCAGACGCTGTAGTTTTGTTAGCTGATATGGAGGATCTTCCTGAACTTTCTAAATCTCTGAGTTCTTTATGTTCTCCATTGTGATACTTGTTGGGTTCAGGGAGGTCATGCAAAGGTGGGGACAGACCACCAAAGTCTAATAAACCAGAAACAAACTTTATTCCAGAAACCAGATTCCAGGAAAACTAGAAGCAAACTTAAAAATTAAAAAATAAACACCGTGGGTCACAGAAGCATATCAGTTAGCTGAGACCACAGCCAGAGATGGTGTTTGTTAGGCTGAGGCAAAAGGCCAGTTTCTGAACCCACTTTTTATAGTAGGGGCACCAAGCATTAGGTCTGAACAAAGGAATTTTTACAATCTTGCCCCGCCCCGTGGATTAGTCAACAGAGACCCTAAGGAGGGGAGTGAGTTCTAACGTCCATGGGTAATTAGGCAGCTATCAAGAAATATGTTTTAGAGGAGATTACAGAAAAAGTCATTAATTGCAAGTCTTTAGCAATTAGTCAGAAAAGGGACTGCTAGTAATATCAGAAGGCTAATAAATTAGAATTAATTGGTTCTTAGATAGCAGAAAGCTTTTCACATTATCTCAAGGTAAAACTCAGATACAGACTGCCATACTTTACAACCTCTATTATTAGAGCTTATTAGTTAAATCTGTGTTTTTACCTTGTCCGCTGTCTCTTGGTACCTCCTCCAGGCAGTGTATACTGAAGCCCCATGCCTCGCCTTTAATGGTGCCAGTTTCCCATAATGGAGACAGCGCCTAACCTAGAGGTCAGTATCTCTGTCTTCTAAAGGTTGACTCAGTTCATATCTGTTGTTCATCAAGGATGGCCAGGACACTACTCTCAGTTTACAGAGAGAAGCTCCAGCCTTGTAAATAGAACAGCCAGTTGTAAAATGAAATGACCTAGGCTGATGGAGGCTTCTTAAGTGTCTGAGAAAATAGCTCACTGTGAATAATTGATCCTTGATCTGCTGAGAAAGCTGCTGACAGTCTGTTCTTATTCCCCTAGACTTATAACTTTATATTTCTTTATTTTTACATTCTTATTTCTGGAATCTACATTTTTATTTTCTTATTCTTGGACTCTTCAATACTAACAGCTTCCCCAGTTCAAATTAGCGGAGACTAAATATACAGAGTGAGGAGCTCTGGTTCACGGACGGTCGACCTAGGAAACCACTGGTCTCCTTTATTGTCTGATAGTTTTGTAAAGTTCTTCTTTTTGTCAGCTGTTCTGAGGAACCCTGCTGATTCTTTGCCACTGACGACTGTAGCTAAGTGGCCCCGTATGTAATGTTTTGTTCTCACAGCTGTGCGGGCATTGACTTTTGCCTCTCTCCAGTGTGAATGTGTTGACTGTGCCTTTAGTGTGGCTCTCTGGCTGTCAGGCTGTGCGTCTACCGCTCTGCGTCCCAACCCTGAGCATTTCGAACTTCTTCAGTAAATGCTTGTCATTGTGTTTAAAAAACTAGAAACTTTAGCGCTCTAGTAAAGAAGGATCGTGGCAACAAGGCCTTGAATGCAAATATAGTAATTGGGATAAGGCTGAGAGTCATGGACACCCAGCGTTTGTCATCCGTGGCAGAGGGACAAACAGAGCACCCAGCAGCCCTGCAGTCTGCCTCTTGCTTCACCAGTGTTTGGACAGGCAGCTGTGACCGCCTTGTGCTTTGCTGCTTAACTCCTCTCTGCTCTGGGCCCCTTCCTCAGTTACTCAGGCTAGCCTGAGGCTGTCAGCTGTGTTGCTGATTTGCATCTAGGAGCTTGCCCTTGGTGCTCTGGGGAATCAGGAATGCTCTTTCCACTCTCCTGTAGGTGTGATGACAGCCAACATAGGGCCCTTAGGAGATAGTGAGTCTTTTCAGATCCTCATGCCCTGGTCTGGGGCCTGCACATGCCCTGGCCTCTGTTTGACCTCCTGGGAAGCTGCTTTGTGACAAGGAGTCTCAGCGCCTTGCTGAGACCTTGTTCAGTCTTCAGAACACATAGTTGATATTTAAAACTTTGCCTGGCCTTCTAGACAAGTTCATCTGAGGAGTCTGATGAAATGCCGGTGCCAGATTCTGAGAGTGTCTTCATTATCCCTGGAAGTGTGCTCTTGTGGAGGATAGCCCCACGGCCTCCCAACTCTGCTCAGGTGAGTCTGGGTCCATTAAATACAGTAACTAGTTGACATCTAGCTTGCATGGTGTCCTTTCTCAGTCAGCAGAGCCTAAGTCCTTTTAATTGGTCTGCTGTCACCGCCCGTATGTCTGTGTCACATTCCCTCCTTAACCAGAGGGTGCTCTGTCAAGCTGGCAGGTGTGCTGGATGGCGCTTCACTGGGGGTCTCTCTAGCAGAGAGTGGAGGTAAGAGGAGCCTGTGACACAGACTGATGCTACAGGTGGAGACCCTCCAGCCCCAGCAGGACATGATTTTATTGACGGAAGCAGAAGGGATGTGTGTATGCTACCCTGTGAGGTCTGCTAGGAGCTGAATGTCCACATAATAGTGCAGATAGAGGCCTTTAGCCATGTCCTCTCAGAAAGGCTGACCGTACTGTGGCCATGGGAGGTGTCACTACCATATTAGATGCCTTCTTTCAGGGCTTCCTGCTTGGTCTTGGTAGGCGTTTTCTTGATTGCTTGTTTATGTTTCAGATGTATAATTTTACCAGCTTCGCGATGGTTTTGAATGAAGTAGACAAGGAGATGGAGAGTGTGATTCCCAAGACGGACTGTAGGCTGCGGCCTGACATCAGAGCCATGGAGAATGGAGAGATAGGTGAGGAGTCTGCCCTCGGGGCGGGGCTTCTGGTTCCCTTCATCCTGGTCTCTCTTAGCATCATTGCAGTACTCAGAGTTTTAGCTTCTTTTATGTTAAAATCCAGCAACTTTGGTTTTGAATTTGAAAATCTGAGCTCAGCCTTGCTTAGACTCAAACTCATTGCTTGAAAGGTGTTCCAGATGGAGTCCACTGTACTGCGTGTGGCTAGCGAAGACTTGGCCACTCTGAACTATAGACTACAGTCTTCACTATGTCTTTCAAAGTGCAGCTTGTGAGTCTCGTAAGAGTGCGGCTTCCTCCTCACTGACACACTTAATCATAAAGTGTGAAACTTCTAATGACTCAATTGATATCAAAAAGGGGCAGTTTCCCCTCCTGGGAGGAAGTGCTCGCAGTTGGTCTCAGCATGCACTGGAGAGCTCTGACAGGGCAGACCATTTCTTCACTGTGTGTGCTCAAGTTGTTTCAATCACTTAGGAATGGACTGAAGGAAATCTCTGAGGTCTTGCTCAGAATTTTTAGTAATCTCACTTTTATTCAGTTTTTTTACTAAGTTTTTATTGAAGCATTTTAGCCTAATATTCATGGCCATAATAATAAGCATGTTGTTTCTGGTAGGAGCAAAAGCTGCTGGGTGGCATTTGATCAAAGCACATTATTCACACGTATGGAATTCTTACACAGTGAAAGATGAAAAAACAAAGAACAAAAGGAAATGACTGTCAGATGCCAACTCTTCCTATGATTGGTCTAGAGAACATTAATTCTTTTGTCTAACTTTAGTTGGTTCTGATGGTCGGTCCTTGGGCTTCATACATACTAAGTAAATACACTACTGGGATAGATCTCTAGCTCTCTGCTTTACTCTTTGAGAAAGGGTCTTATATAAGTTGTTCAAACTGGCCTTGAATTTAGGATCCTCCAAATTTTCAAATATCTAAGATTCCAGACATGTGCCACCACATGTGCATCAGGACTGTATCCTGATTACAGCGCTACATAATAAAGACCCACGTGGACAATGCTGTCTGTAGTACTGCTCCTGGTGCCATGCCCGGCATGCTCAGCATAATGTGCTTTTCACTGGCCTCATTTTAGATCAAGCTAGTGAAGAAAAAAAACGGCTTGAGGAAAAACAAAGAGCAGCCCGCAAAAACAGGTCCAAGTCAGAAGAGGACTGGAAGACAAGGTGCGTGTCCTGTTCTGTGTGGCTTTGCCATCTAATAGCTGTGTGTGAGGGACAGGGCTATCAGACGCTGAACCACAGAGCAAGGGTCCATAGCCTCAGAGGAACACAGCACTCTAAAGTGTTAAAATCAAGAATTGTGTTTGTGACAGGAGAAATGATTGAGGAGTTATGGTTATAACGTTCTCACACAGTCATTACAGGGGAGATTAGTTTAATTTATCTTTTTTCCTTATCCAACATTCTTTCAATATCGAAAAGGCAAAGTACAATCCAGAGTTAGATTTGGACATGAAAATACACATTTTTTTGGTCACATCTATGAGTAAATTACAGGATCATTCATATGTGCATATATAATGCATCATTAAGTTAGATAGTGCCTTTTCTAAATACAAGGGGTTACACATGATGGAATTAGGGTTTAGAAAAAGTAATATTTTGGACAGTATCAAATATCTGACTTTTGATTGGGCTAAGAATTGCTTGTTAGTCTCCTGTTTTATTAGAGTCCCTTGTAACTGCTGCTCCGTGACTCACTTAACTGTCAAAGCCAACATGGGCATATTTTGCAAGCATTCCAAAATGCTTGATAGACATGATAGTCGTTTCGCATCTTACAAAAAAAATCTACAAATGCACTGACAGCTTCTACCCCTAGTGTTTGGATTTGCTCACATAATAGTTTTTGCCAAAGAATGAGTAAAGAATGTGTGGGTGTCAAATGGCTGCTATGGTTGAGTAAAGGGGCAGGACCTAGGCACTCCTCACCTTCCCTCCTTGTGTATACCCCAGGTCCCTAAACTCTGAAATACAGTGTAAAAGCTGCTGTATCTGGTGTGGACAGCTCACTGGATAGTTAGGACAGCTTAAAATGAAAGCTAGATGTAGCCCAGGAATCCAACTGAGACCCCGTGAAGTCTGGACTGGGTTGCTCTCACTGGGTGTGTGTAGCATAGCAGAGGGAACCATAGCCTTTGCATCCGGCAGCAGGTGGAGCTGCTCTGCCAGTCAGCTCACCTGTAACCGGAGGGAGCACCGCCCACCCTGCCTGCTGCAGGTGTGTGCTCCCGATGGTGTCATGGAAGGCGGAAGGCGGCCTCAAGGGTGATCACAAGTAGGACAAGTGAGTAGCACTCACTGCCAATTGCTGTAGATCGTAGCAACTCTATTCATCGTAGCAATGAATATATGGTCATATATTCTCTGACTAGAAACAGTCACTTCTTTAGGGTCTCTGAGGAAATACATGACACACAGGGCCAACTACTAGAAGTTAAACAACAGTGTTCTGTGGATTCTGAGTCATTTGCTCTCTAAATTTTATCTTTCCTCATTGGACAGGTGGTTCCATCAAGGTCCTAACCCCTACAATGGAGCACAGGACTGGATTTACTCTGGCAGCTACTGGGACAGAAACTACTTCAATTTGCCTGATATTTATTAAAGTGCAGAGAAGTCAAGGTGTTTGGCTAATCTACATAAGTCTTAAGCTTAAGTTTTTAAATTTTCCCTTGGTTTCTACTCCTAAATTCCATTTCATCCCACAAGGTAGGGTGTGATGGCATTGGTGAAGGTCACAGGGAAGGCGAGGCTCTTGGCTTCCTGCCTGCTTCCCTGGAGCCCTGTTTTTGTGAACCGAGCAGCTGCTGGGGGTGCTGTGTAGTCTAACATTCAGCTTTATGGGACTCTATAGTGATCCAAAAATCAAGTTATTGTCAATATTTTTATGCTATTATGCTTGAGTAGCTTAGGTGTAGCTTTGAAATGTTTAAAATTCTTCTGTACAATGTTATGTGCTCAAATGTAAAGGTTGTCATTTTACAAGAACTAAATTGGTAAGACGGCCTTTCAGGGAAATCAGTCCTCTCAATTCTACATTGCCATCTCCAAAATAGAGTAGAGGGGTGGGACAGAATCGGGAATTCCAGACTTGAAAATTCTAAACTGGAAAGGTATCTCCTTATCACTCTGAATTTTCTTCCACATTCTGGGATCACTCTCATTAGAATTTACACAGACAAATTTTATTTTGAACTGAAAATCACAAAAATGTCCTAGAAATAGATTTTAATCGATACCATTATCTAATGACAAACCTTTAAGCTTCAACTTCCAATGGCAGATGCCACAGAGAAATTAAGCTGCACTCGTGTATTATAATCTGTGTACGAGGAGGCCTTGTGCATTTTGAGTTTGCAAGGTACTGGAGACCTACTGTACAGTAGCTTTGCCCCTTTAATTGGGGTAATCTTATAGTATTTATCCAACCAAATCCCAGACTGAGATACTTGCCCTAGAGGGCCTAGGTAGCTTCCAGTAAGTTACTTTAATTGTATTAAAGTTAACAAGTGTTATAATGATGCTAAATAAAAGCTTTAGAATATTAAAGTGTGAATGCTTTCAGAATTTCTGCTGATATTATAACCTAACACCCAAAAGATGTCTCTAGGGCCAGAGAGACTGCTGCCTAGCTGATACTGTAAACAGAGGTACTGTGTTTATTATTTGAATTCCAGATATCCTGACTGGAAAAACTGTACATGTATGAGCTGAACAATGTAGGGTAGTTTGTACATCTAAGTTACTAAAGCAACAATGCAAAGCATTATGCTTGCAGGAAGTTTATTGATACAGTTCACATGGTGACAGACTCCACCTTGAATGCTGACTCAAACAGCATCATTTCAGCATCTGTTGATGAAGAGACATTGAACTGTTTAAATATATCGTGAAATAAATCAAAAATATCCTAGCAGTTCCTGGTGGTCATGCTTATGTTCATGGCTACACAACTGAAATACCACCTCTCCAACCCCCCCCCCCCAATCACAGTGGCTTAACTGTTAGGAATCCATAGCTCTCCTTAGCTGCATGCCTGGCAGCACTACACATACATACATTGCTTGTCTCCTCCACTCGAGTCCATGTTTTACTTGCCCACTGTTGATACCAAAGGAAGAGGCTCGATATTATGCCCAATTGAATAAAAAAAGAAGTCTAAAAATTCCAGTTAGCCACAATTAAATTTTAAAAAATTTGATACAATTGTCAGAGCTGTTACTTCAGCTTCTGTTAATCTCTTACATGGACAGACCGTCTCTGTCCCTGTTTCTTAAACATTGATTATCCTCACTTTAAAGAATCTACCATATACTCAAAGGTGGCTGGGCATTCATTAGCAGCTCTGTAGTTGAAAGCCAAGCACATAAGCTTAAGTATACCCCCTCATTCTCAAGTGTTTGGATCCCCAGCCCTTAAGTGCTGAAGGCTCAGCTGTGCTAAGGCCCACCTGTCACGGTAGGAAGGGTTACCTACTCTTTTAGGGTTCTGCTCTGCGGACATGGGCAGTAGTCACTGTAATTTCGCCAGCAATACCGTAACTTCCAAAGGGAGTACGTTTGTCACCAGATCCTGAACTCTTTTTAGCTACATCTTCTACTGGGAAAGCAACAGAAAGAAAGACTGGGCTTTGCGGTCTGGGGCCATCTTGTCCACTTGTAGGAGGACTAGCATTCTGGGGGTTGGGGGCAGGTCTCTGGAATGTCTGGTCTGCAGGAACAGCAATGGGCACTTGCACTGCAGCGTATCTCTTCAAGGCATCTGACTGTGACACCACAGTGTGTCCAGGAAGAGGCTTCCAATCCTGTGCTTCCTGGACATTGGAGCCTACTAAAATAAAAGGTGGGGCACTGGTCTTCTTGCTGTCATCCATCATCACATAGGTTGGAGAAGTGACTTTCGGTGGATTCTGCAGAAACTGTGGATCCTTGGGATTAGGTAAATAGAGGGTCGCTTGGGGAAAAGGCCCCAGTGCAGGTGGCGGTGATGGGCGGCTTTGTTGATTCATATCAGTTAGACAATAAAGTGTCCACATATTAGAATATGGTGGTGGTTGTCCTGCTTCGCTTGTTGCTAGTGCTATAAAAAAAAAAAAATTGCAGGCATTAAAGGTTTGGTCTCTGTACCAGGCACTATGCACAGTCATGTCTTTGTAAATCTTTTTTTTACATATAAATAAGCAACTGTAATAATATGTGCCATAAAGCATGCTATAGAGAGGACGACAGAAATTGTGCCTGGTAATGTGGAGGAACAGCGTGATCCACAACAGTTGGAAAAGGAACCCACAGCAACGGCAGGGACAGCAGAGTTGCGGCTCAAGAAGCAACTGTATTCTAAGTTGCTGTTTCCAGACTCTTACACTGTTTTGGTTCTTTGAGACAAGGTATCATTGTGAGTCCAGACTGGCCTTGAACTCTTAGTCCTCCTGCCACAGCCTCCCAAGAGCTAGAAGTATCACCATGCCTAACAAGAATCTTAAGCTTTATATATGGCTTCCACATGGTACTCAGAAGAAAGTTAGCAAAACTTTTTACTTTACCAAAAATAAACATCAACCATGTAAAGCCAGTGAGAAATCATATAAGCACATCTGCATAGCAGTTTCTCTACCTAGTCAGACATTACATGTCACCTAATAATATCTCTGGTCTTTTGACAGGCACTGCCACCTCCCATCTTCAATCTGCTACCTCATCTAGGAGTCAGATCCCAGAGAGCACTCATTTTAGCCAAGGCTGGGCACCACCATATGCCTCAAAAGACAGCAGAAAGCTGGTGGACACTCTAACACAGAGAGAGCTAACAGAGCCGTCCGTCAGCTTGTAGCAAGGGTTTGATATTGCTGAGTGTGGCTGCCAAAGATAGGGACTCAGACGTGTCAAGTTCAGTTCTGCACACTAGGCCATCCATTTGCACACTAGGCCATCCATTTCACAGAAAGTTAAACTATGCATGGATTCAGTGGTGCTTTTGATGGCTCAGACAAATTCTGTCCTCAAGATTACTAAAAATACAATCCAAATCGTCAGTCTTTCCAGATGAGAGGATCTAAGACCTCAAACTTGAGTTCTCTTGGTAACTTGTCCACTAAGGACAACTGTCCCTCAGTAACAGCTAAGTGCCTGAAAACAGTGACTCTGCTTGACGTGATGCTCAAGCCACAGATAACACCGGCCGCACAGGCTGTAAATGCAGCACTGCCCTCTGCCTTTCCAGCTGTAGCGAATCTGTCACACTGCCAGTCAGAATTTGGTTGCTCAACACCTGCTTTGGTAATATCCCTATATTATTCTGGTTTGAGTCAGAGCTGAGAATTTCTGCAAGAGGAATGGGAGGCTTCTTTCATTCATGTCCCTTCAGATACCCAAGGAGGGCCACTGCAATATCCAGATAGGCAGAAGGGTAGGCAGACCACACGCCATAATTTGATGGAGATGGGGTTATAACGCTTATGTGTCAGGAGGAAAAGCAGCTGGAGGTAAAGCTCCCCAGAAAGCAGCTTGGCTTTGGTGTGTCTGGGGGTTCATGCATGTGAACTGCACCCACTGTTTTCAGGTGTGCAGCCATTCTTCCTGCTGGTTTCCTGTGCCACAGACGTTCCATCCAGCCTGTCCTTTCTCCATCTGGCTGTGATGCTGCTCCCTCAGCCACAGGAAGGTCCCAAGTAGGAAGCAGTGTCTGAGCAAGCATCCCAAACCTGATTGCATAGTTCTCCTGACTCAGTGCGAAAGCAGTCAGCCACACCACCATTTCTTTCATGTTTTAAATGCCACAGCCCAAGTAAACGCAGTGTTCAGTTTTGCATTTTTCTAATTACCATTTTGTAAACGGGTATTAAAAACCTAACAGACTCTCATGCCTACAAACGTGTGCAGAAAGAATCCAGCTTTGACAGTGCCGTGTGATTTTCATAATAGTAAATTTTTAAGTACAACAAAGCCTTTAATTAGGTATGGCATTTAAATAACCTGAAAATGGACTTTGGTCAGTTGGCAGAAGAGCCAACTTATATGGTTACTGAATACAGATGTTACCTGAAACGCAGTATATGAATGTGCAAGTATCTAATTTTCTTACCTGGCTTCATCAAACCTGTTCAGGTGCATCTTCCTCATCTGGTTGGATTTCAGGATCAGTAAAGCCTCCTGGCGCAGGAGGGAAAGGGTCACCGGATGAATAGGGTGCAGCGTTCTCCCCTGACTCCTCCTGGCCAGGATTGTCAGGGTCTATGGTAACGATCTCCACTTCAAAGTGCAGAGAATTTTCAGAGGCTCTTTTGACAAAGCCCTCTGCATCCAGGGGTTCTGCAGGTACCTCGGGCTGACCCTCTAAAGCAGTGTCAGAGAGCAGAACTGTAGCTTCTGCCTCCATGTGTACTGAGGGCTGGTGTTGGGTATTCTCCACCTGGACAATCTGCAGAGACTCTACAGATATCTTAGACATGCCTGAGGAAGTCTTGGTTTCTACAAGTTTGGGACTAACTGGTGGTGACTGCTCAATTTCTTTAAGACAAGCAACTTGGTCAGTAAACGGGATAACTACGTATCCCGGTATCTGCTTAACATAGACAACTCCTTCATTGACAGGCACATCGTTATATACGGATGATACATGAAAGGCTGATGTGACCTGAGTGTCAGGAGCTTCATCGTAAGCAGGAGGTTCTTGTTCACCCTGCAAGGGGGCTGAGGAAGCCTTTGGTGGTTCAGCCTCAGAATTAGGACCCACAACTGCCTGAGCAGATGTTTGGCTCATAACCTGCACTGCTAACATCTCTCCAGAGCACACCAGAGGAGCAGACACCACGACTTCTTCATCACTCTCTGTACTCAGTGAGTCCTGGGTACTCGTTGCCACGTCCACCATTAAAACTTCAGAATATGTGGATGGAACATTACCTAACATCTGGGCAGCAAACTGAGCTGGGTCAGCCGGCACATAGGCATACTCTGCAGAAACGGGTGCTGGAGGTGGTGAGGACGGTGGGGTGGTGGTCTTCGGTGTGGCTGGTTTGGAAGAAGGACCCCAAACTCCTTCACTTGTCTCCTCAGGCTGGAGTTCAGCATGAACTGATGGGAACTGGGTGGTTTTGTTACTAAACAGTGGTCCAGCTACATTGTCCTCCTCTGTGTCTGTGGACTTTTCCATTCGTGTAGGTTCGCAGGGAACTGGAGGCGTTCTTCCCGGTTCTTTCACACATTCTTTCTTCTCCAGTGTCACTCCTTCCGCCCATTTCTCCACTAAAAGTAACAGTCAGGTGAGTTCATCAGCAAACACTTCTCAAAATATTTTAAATAAAGCAACAGTAGGTTGAACTTTCAAATACCAATATACACAGATCTATGTGCAACATCTGCATTAGCATGGACCTGTAACAGGCTCACATCCACCTAAACAATTCATTTCCTTAGAAATAAATGACCAGCATATATTATAGAGTAAAGCTAGTATTATACTACTCTAAGCTGATATTCAGTTCCTAAAAGGAAGGAAACTAGAACCCTCCTGGTCTGTTGTCCTACCAAAAAGGGGTGTGTGTGTGACACCGAGGAGAGAGGCCCAGCAGATAAAGTGCGACTTGGCCTGGCCATGTGAGAACTGGGCAGGATGACTGGAATGCCATCTGAAATCCCAGTACTTGTGAGGCAGGGAGGCACAGGCAGCCCTGAGTGTGCTAGCAAACTGGAGTTATCAAGCTCTGGGTTCAGTGAGTGACCGTGCCTCAGTAAATAGTGGCTGTGATCAGTGTCAATTTTGCACCTCTACATGCACCCACGACCACACATTGCAAACATGCACATAGAAAAAGACAAAATGTGAGCAAAGGAAACACTAAAGACAGATGTGGAAAGCAAATTATTCCAGTTTCAGTTAGTGTCATAACTTAGAGAGGGAACACACAGATGCACTCCTCCATTTAGGAAAACCAGTGTGCAAAATATGCAATGAACTTGTCATCTGTGGTTTTCACATTAGGAAACATGATATACTTGCAGGTGACATGTGGTCATGAAGCCATGGTCATATTGACCCAGATGAAAAGAGAAATTCCTATGTCCACGAATTGTAGCCACTGAATGCTCAGTGCCCGAGAAAACCCATTCTGAGGGTCAGAAGCCACACCCTACTAACTGTCTTGCCTATTCCTCATTCAGAAAACACAAAGTCAGCAGGGAAAGTGAGAAGTGATTGCTTCAGGTCAAAGGTTTGAAGATCCAAACAGGCCTGTGAGCTCATCTGTAGCTACAGAACCTTAAGACCCTATCCTCAAAACCACAAGTATGTCGTCCATATGTTCACATTGCTTTCTAAAGGAAGGCATCCTCCAGAGTTTCTACCCATATTTGCTGCTGGTTTGTAAATTCAGTTAACTGTCTAGTTCTGGACACAGATGGCCATACTAAATGCTCATGTGCTGAGAAAAGCCACAAAAAAAAAAAAAAACTACTAACATTCACCTCACTTATCTAAATATCTCTGCAGGACTCCCCTGCCCCAGTCCTCCCCATCTCTCGTGCTAGGGATTCAATCAGACTTTGTGTGTGCTAAGGAAGTACTCTACCACAGAGCTGTACGGCCCTTTAACACTCTCTTCCCTACCAGCACACCTGATAGAATGATTCTCTTACATGTAAGACTCTGGTAGATGACAGTGCATAAAACTTAAATTCACTAGGAGATAATTTAAGCATAAATATTATAGATATAAAAGCAGAAGAATAACGGTATTAATAAAAATGTTGCGAGTTTGGACCTCAAGAGATGGCTCAGCAGCTTCCTGCTTTTCAGCATCCCAAGTTCTGTTCCCAGCACCCAGAAACAAAACTGCCTGTAACTCTAGCTCTTGCAGATCCAACCTTTGGGCACCTGCACTCACACGTGCACAATTTTGAGTGATAATAATTTTTAAAAAATCTTCAGAGTTCACAAATTCTGAGCCTAACTTGAATAAGCCTAACTTGGTAGTTACTCTTATGCTTAGGATGCAGAGATAAAGCAGTACTACTCCATCTTGACAAGAAGATCAATCATAAAATCATAACTTGGCTTGAGTTCAGACAGTTGAGGTCATAGTAAATTACCCGATTTCATAAAGAACAGTCTCCTTTCACCCCAGAGGTGTACCAGAGCTGATTTAGCCATGGCAAGGGACAGAAAGAAAAGGCCGCCATTCCCTGGTGAGAAGGTAACAGCTATATAGAAACTACTAAATGTGGCCAGGAGGTCAGACTTGTGCCTCCAAACTCAGGGGTCTGTTATGACTGACAAGTAGTTTTCTGCAGGCCTCAAAAGAATGACGGAAATGGGATAGCATGCCAAAAAAGAAACCTATCCTAATACCAAACAGTGGTCACTTGGCCCAAGGCAAATATCATGATGGCCATGGATATAGCCATGGCCATTCTGAAGACACTAAACTCTGGAAAACTGGAAGGTCAGAGTGGCGAACTTGGCTCTCATGTCTAGCTCTCTCTCCTTCCATTACCAACTGTGCATGGTAAGATGATTAACCTCTTCTGGTTCTCAATGCCTACCAAAAATGGTTTCTAGGAAAAATCCCAGAAAGAAATTTCAACAGGTAAATGACACACGCAGAGAACTTTCCTCTCTGTACGCTCTCCACACGTACTGGGAACACACAGAAATGCTGCTGGGCAGACAAACTACTGCTGAGAACTGGAGAACAGAACATCCGCACTGACCAGCCTTCATGAAACACATGCTCCCGTCTGACAGGAGTGAGGTAGGTGAACTAGGGATACCTCAGCGGCTAGCTCTTGTACACATACTGGCGTCTAATGCCTGCTGCTGTCTTTAGTTGGTGTTGCCTCACACTGGAGACACTGAAAGAGCAGAATGAGGGTCAGTTGACTTAAGTCTTCCTAGAGAGGTTCATTTTCACAGTCACTGAAAGCCTGAGATGGCCTCTGTCTTTGAGATTAACGAGCAATGTATTATTTTAGGCGCCACCTCCACATTTAAACCTAGGATTCACACAAGGCAAGTTGTACTTGGATGAATGACACATGGTTAGATTTATTTTTAGCTGTCATAAGAATAGCAGAGAATTAAACCAGTCAGCAGACAGGGAGCTATCATTCAGGAGAGGAAATGTAATGCATGGGAACCTCATGCTGTCTGTCTATAGGAGGACCCAGATTGATAGATGCAGTCTGTCTAGTAAGAAGCCATTTGTGGTGACAAGGAGGAGAAATGAGCCAAGGTGATATCGGACAACTGTATTCTACTTTCATATTGCCTCACGACGTCTCCAGTCAGCAGGACGAGCAATGTTACCACTGTCTTAAAAGGCAGTCTGTTTTTATAACCACACTGTGAGCTTCCTTTTAGTTTATCTGTATGTATGCCTGTTTGTTGACATCTGTAGTTATTTGAAGAGATAAACAGCCATATCTCCTTAATTCCATCAAAAGTATGGCTGGCCTACAAATTTTGTTACTCTATTACTCCACATTAATTTTAAAAATTGAGATGCAAAAACAACCTACATGTTATTAATCAAAATCCACATGCTAAAATGAATGGTGGATAAAATCTTCAATAAATAAATAATCTCAAAATGCTGTCAGGTAGTATCTTCCACCATAAAAACCAGTCTTGCCATTATGAAATAGGGTAAGCCTGCACACTCACAATATTTTCTAATGTAGCTCTCGTTTTGAACATAGAAACACAAAAACCTTGACTGAGAAACTAGGATCATGGATATAGAAAGCAATGTTCTTGTGCTTGGTTTGTATATGCGGCAAAGATTATACAAGCAAATCCCACAGCTTACAGCTTCTTATGATTAGTTAATGTCATCAGGTACTTGGAAGAAATCAGGTAGACTAGACAATACAATATTCTAGAAATATTGTACACCTCATTCTCTGCTCCTTCAAATGCCTATGTCTCCTATTTTTAATCTTGATTTCCTGTTTTGGGTGTATTTCACAAAAATGACATGGTTTGGAGCATTGAAGCAAAGGTCCTACCAAGCCTAATGACCTGAGTTTGGTCCCCAGGACTCACATAAAAGAATCCTGACTCGCAAAAATCGTCTGCTGATCTACACGTGTGCCATAGCATAACATAACACACACACACACACACACACACACACACACACACAAATAAACATAAGCAAATGAAAAGAAACCTGGCAGAGATGCTGGAGAGACGGCTCACTGATTAAGAGAGCTCATTGCTCTTGCAGAGGGCCCGGGTTTGGTTCCCAGCATCTGCATGCTGTCTTAGAACTAACTGCAAGTCCCAGGGGATCCAACGCCCTCTTCTGGATTCTGCAGAAGGTGGCGTCTGTATCACTACAAGTATGCAGGAAAACACTCATCCACATAAATCTAAAAAAATATGGTTTTTTTTAACTGACAGTTTAAGGGTAACTACTCTCCAGTCATCCAAAGTTGTTACTGATCGGCCAATATGGTCAGAACTATGTATGCCGCTCCTTCCCATGGCAGCCCGGGGTCATTTACTTCTTGACAAAATCCTGTGAGCAGCTTTTCCTCACCATTCTTTTAGATGCATCCTTTGCCAAATCCCATCTTTTTCAACTATCTAAATGTTTCATTGTGTAAATGTTGCCTTTTCCTACTTTTCCTACAGCTCTTTTGTTGCTACTCGGTCTTCTCTGTTTCATGCTGTCACATTCAATTTACAAATGTGTGTGCTACATATGTGTGTCATTCTGTCACGGTGTGTGCTACATATGTGTGCTACTCTGTCACGGTGTGTGCTACATATGTGTGCTACTCTGTCACGGTGTGTGCTACATATGTGTGCCACTCTGTCACGGTGTGTGCTACATATGTGTGCCACTCTGTCACGGTGTGTGCTACATATGTGTGCTACTCTGTCACGGTGCCCCAGACATGGAGAAAAGTACTGCTCCATAAAACGTCTACTCAGACACTCTCTTAGCAGGGCGTATGGCAGTGACGGCTGATCTCTTGTAGACTGGACTTCACGTAAGAGTATGTCTTATTTTCTTTTGAACAGCAGGTTTTCTTCTAACCTTCATGCTTAAGCTTACACTGAAACCCCTATATATATTATATATGTCTTGAGTACTCATTATCAGAAATGCCTGGAAGCCGATATATCAGATTTTGAGGGTTATAAAAACTGTTTTAGAATATTTGCATAGCCTATTAGCAGAGACTCCCGAATCTGAAACCCAGGAATGTGAAATACTCTAAACCAGAGACTTAAATCGTGTTCATTTTCATTTTGGATTTTGGAGCATTTTTAATAATTGATGGTAACCTGCACAGCTTTACAGATCTCCCCTTACAATTACTATGAAGTACAAGTTCTCTTAAAGTCCGCTGTACTTCCCTAAAAGTGTGCATGGTAGAGAGCATGTGAATCGTAGCTATCTCCACTGTCCTAGACATCATGTACTTTCATCACTAAGAAGTGGATCTTGTGGTCCAGGACGGACACCAAGGCCTCGTGTGTGCTTTGCAAGAGCTCTACCACCAACCTGGATTTTCAGTCCTGAGTACTCCTCCTGCAACACACCTATTTTTAAGACGTAAAACCTTCTAAACTGGAAATCCTGATGTTAAAATAAGCCAGACATGACTTAGTAAAAACACAAAGCACCGGTATGATTACTCAGACATAAAACACCGGTGTGGTTGATGAAGAATCCATTGGCATAATTATGAACGTGTGTTACCAAGTGTGTAATGACAACATTGCTGAAACAGCATCTCTGAGGCACTTACCTTTCATCTGATGAAACTGTTTAATCAGATCTTTTATATCCAAAGATGAATTCCCTGAATGAATGAATGAATAAATGCAGGAAGTCAAATAGAGACATTTTTCAATTTAAAATGGCTTTGCAAAGCAACAAATACAGAAGCTAAAGCAATACAAACCTTCTCTAAACACAATGAGTTCTTTAAAATAAACTGCTGCAAACTGGGTGATGTTTGTCGGATTGGTTTTGAGAATGGCCCTGCTGACTCCTTCAAGCAGAGTCTTGAGGCCATAGGGTACAACAAGTCTGGGCTTTGAAGAAATCATTTTGGCAGGATGTCTGTAATTTCAACTATAAGGAAAAGAAACAAAATCTTACACTGTACATTACATTTATTGAATTTTCTTTGATTTAGTTGGAGTTCCTAAAACCAAATCTATTAAAATTATTAGTTTTACTTCTCATCTCTAAGTATTTATTCTGGTAACATGGGATGCAATTCTTGGTAATTATTTACAGAATAAAACCCACTACCACTGGCTTACTATGCACAAGCAAGCGATATAGCACTCATTAAGAGACTGTAAGTGGAGATGGCTCATCAAGTCAAAGTGCTTTCCCACAGACCTGAGGACTTGAGCTTAATCCCTGGATCCCACGAGCAGCAGGAGAGAGTAAATGCTAGCTAGAGATTGGTCCTTTGACCTCCACAAGTGGCATGCATACACATGTACACATACATACTCAAAGTCTCTCTCTCTCTCTTTCTCTCGGAAATGCCCTGCCAAGATTAACAGAATGATACATTTTATGTCCAAATAAGACACACAAAATCCAATTAATATTTCAATAAAGATAAATTAAGCAATGTATTTCCAAATAATGCCCATATATAGGCACTAATTTTGTACAGTGTTGCAAAACTATTTCTACAAGAAAATTACATTTTTTTCTAATATATTCCTAGACACATTTCCTACATTCTAGTACACAAGTTTTGCTTTGTTTCTCTTTGGTATTGGGATTTGAACCCAGGGCTTTCCATAATACCTGGCAAGCACTCTACCACTGAGTTATTTTTTAATGTTAGGTGTATCTGTGGGACTATGCCATACCCATTAATATAGAGTTCTTTCCTTAATCAAATTACCCTCCCCCTTCAGATTTGGCTGACCAAGAACCCTCTCTGTGGACTAGGCTGACCTCGAACTCAGAGATCCACTTACCATTGCCTCCTGAGTGTTTGGGCTACCACATCCATTCCCTTGATGACTGTCAAGTGGTACCTTGAGTGTTATATAAGCTGCTAGGGGTTGTCCCAGCCTTTGACATTGGGTTGTTATATACAAACATGTTGGGTTACACTCATATCCTAATATCAGAGACTATCCTAAGACAGACCGCAAGTTGGACACATCTAGACCTATAATTCTCATGGGTTTAGAGTTTGTCAGCCCTAAACTGTGTGTTCACTCTGAAACGTGGAACCTTGCAAGTAAGTTTTAAAAATTGAATCTTTTTAGTACGGGGGAAAAAAACCCAGTGCTGCCAGCTAGTCTTTTGCTTTCCTAAATATGGATATTTAATTGGGTCCTGAGCTACCAAGGAGCCACCAGATAGGAAAGAGAAGTTAACATGATTCAGACTTTGAGTTTTGTTTTTTTTTTTTTTTAAATCAGTTGCTTTGGGGAAATCACAGCTGTTCTAGACAGAAGTACCTTAAGAATGCTTCCCATGGGCACTGATAAAGAGCAGACTACTTTGACAGTGAATCATACCCTAACACCCTTAATGTTTCATGGGACTAAGTGGCATGGTTTAGTTGTAGCAATATATCAAGGGACAACTTTCAATAAAAACACAATATGCCACAGCAAAATGTTTTTATTTAGAAGCACCTTTCACATTCTTGCCAAAACAAGTTTTGACCCAAGCAAAACTTTTGAGACTGCAATTAAATGTTTGGTCATCAGGTGCATTACCGAAAGTTAATGTTTGGTCCCTTATTCATCAGGTGCGTTACCAAATTAAGCCATCTTTTGGGGCAAATGCAGTTTTACCATGCTAAATGGCAGTGATCTACAACACATAAGCATACGCACATAAATATACATATGTATATATGCTTTTGGTTCTGTTTTCAAATAAACACCCCAGGAGCAGTTTTCAAAGTGGCAGGCGGGCAAAGTGGAGCAGCAGCTACAGCACCCATCCTGAGATAGTTAGTACTACCAACCGTGCGGCAGCAGTGAGATGGTGCTAGTACCAGGTCACGGTTTAGGGGTGTGACTGTTCCTAGGAACATTCTTGACTGAGAAAAGGCGGGGGCAGCAGCGATGTGGCATCAGACCTCTCACCAACCCAGTTGACGGAAGGCTGTTCAAGAGTGAGAGCTCTTCATTTTTCAGAAGCCCTTGCCAGGAGGGATCTTTCTATAAAACCGCATCCTCTGGAATGTGCCCCTCTGACACTACCGGGGTGGGACACGGCGGCCCTTTGTCCGCGGATTTCGGGGCCATCGACGGCGCACTCCGCGCCATACTCGGCCGCGGGACTCCCGCCCGACCACCGTTTCCCCCTCCGCGCGGCCTCCCGCTGCTCTCGGCCCGCTGCCTTCCGGGCTCAGCCGGCGCCTGTGCGCCAGGCTAGGCCCACCTTCTCTCCGGCTTCAATAAAGCTTCCTCTTTGCCCCCTCGCCGGCGGCTCCTGTGAGAGAGCGCGCTGCCCGCCCACTATTTATACCCCTACGTGCGTCATGTGTGCGTCACAGAGCTCCGCCCCCTTGTTGGGGCCCACCGAAAGAGGCAAGGCTTCGATCGACCCAGCCAATGAGGAACCGGAGGACAAAGGCGGGGGATGGAGTGAGCCGGAGAAGACGTCTTTGCTTTTGACCCTCCGGCGGCCGGAAGTGGCACGCTCTAACCACGGGGCTGCGGCTCCATATTTGATCACTGGACCAGTGGCTGAGGATGCAGCCCATTTGACAGAGGCTCTGGACTCAGTCCCCAGCACCTCAGAAGACAGGGCCCGCAGGTGCTCGCCTGTAATCCCAGGTCCAGGAGGTCGGGGCAGGAGGTCAGGAAGATTTCTTGTCATCCTGTAATACATGGGATCCTGTCTCAAACAAGAACAACAAACATTTATGTATAGGGAAGAGAAACTGCACGTACAGCTGGCTGTATTGACGTTGCTGCCTCCGTTCTCCGCAACCCCTTTATATTAACCTTTTTGAGATCTTTGCAAAGAGTAAGATCTGCCACGCAATACAGTGAAGAGGGAATTACTAGGCACGGCATAGACTTTTCCTCTTGGGAAGCTTGCCTATAGGGAGTGGCAGCAATCCTGACACTTTTTTTCTCCTTAATTAGGCTCAGGCCCCATCGCACACCCAAGTCAACCAGGACAGGGACCAGCCTTCCAGGGTCTTACTAACTGCACTGCACTCCCGGTTATTCTCTCACACATGGTCTCAAGGGGACTGCATCTGCTCGGGACCAGCGTTCCATCCTCCTGCTCCCATTGTCCTCGATTTCTGCACCTTCCAACCAGCTTCTGTGGCATTTTCTTGCAGTGATCTAAGTCCAGTTTTTCCTTTATGAACTGGAGCTCCCTGGAAGGAAAGCTGTTGATTCAATGTTGTGAAGAATTGTAGTAGTACCGATCAAAGACCAAGTCTATCTTGGGCTATGTTTAGTCTCCTTGCTAGCTCTTTGTTGCCCGCCTCTATGATTTAACATCCTTTTGGGTGTAGGGTAAAACGTCTTTGAATGTATTAAAGAGTCCAGGAGTTTGCATCAACACAGACGCTAATCTGGCTTTGAGACTCCACCACCGTGCAGTAAGCTACTTACCTGATATCCCCACCAGAGCATCAGGCACAGGCACTGACTTGAAACTGGGCTTTGTTCTGTGACTTCTGTATCATTCCGTGTGATCTGGATTAATGTTTCTGGGCGTGGTCACGCATGTTTGGTTCAGAGTAAACCTCCCTACTGTCTTTATGGCAAGAGCTGATGGTTGTACGTTCCACCCAAACAAGCAAGACCACCACACAATGGCACAAAGTTGTCTTCACAGATATGAGGGCAAATCTGAATGCTTGTCACTACTATGATTTGCTTAAAGAAATCAGCTACAAAAGTTTACACAGCAAAGTGTGTGTGTTAAAACTCAGACTTTGCCATTTAATTTTAGTTGGCAGAAATATAAAAAGTGCAGAATCAGTAATTAATTGGTTTATAAATTCTGTAATAATATCCTAATCTGTGACAGCTGAAAGTTATAATTCTTTACTCAAAAAACGTATCTACCATGCATTGAAATACAGATACCTAACTCTATAAAAATAAAAATCTTAACTACACCTTCCAGAAAAGTACATAATACAGTCATCACTAGACCATGCCTCCAAGTCTGCCAGATTACAAAAATGTATTTAGCATACATAAAATATTCATTCTCTCATCAAAGGTAATTCAAAACATGTTTGACATTTACACACTGGAATGTCCATTGGAGAGCCTATGGCATAGGATAGTTTGAAATTGGAAATCTCAATAGCAGAAATATAAACAATTTTAAAGTAATCTATAATTTATTTAATTTGAAAGTATGGGACTTTATGTATCCTTTGAATATAGAATAACAACTTTAAAAAGTTTTGAACTAACATTCAAAAAAGACAAACTAAAGCAAAGCTTCATGACTCAGAAGGTTGTGACAGAACCATCTTCCACACACTATAGGCAAGAAGAGAATACTTGGCAACGGCCATAAATTTAAAATGTATGATAGTCTTCTCTCTAGTTACCAGGTTCCAGTATTTGAGACCATCAGTTTCTCTTAAGACCCACTCCCTGCTCCGAGCTTCTTGGATGTACTCAACTACTGAATGCAGGGTTGTAATCTTCCTGGTTTACAACTTCACTCCACACAAGGCCCACATCAGGATGTCAAATGAACAGTTCGGCAATAGTCTAATGGCAAGGGGCCAACATGGGGCTAAGGGACAGATGATGGGACAGACAGCGTCAGTGAGGAAGGACTTTGATCAAAGACACTGCTTCCTCAAATAAGACTGAAATGTGTTTGCTGTGTTGTGGGACCCAGGCCTCTGCACACCAAATACTCTACCACTAAAGGACACCCCACCACTAAAGGACACCCCACCACTAAAGGACACCCCACCCATTCAGTGCCATATTAGGAACCCCCATCCTTCCAAGTCAGAGCCTTTAATATACTTCCTCATGCTGTGGTGACCTCAACCATAAAATAATTTTGTGGCTGCTTCATAACTGTAATCTTGCGGCTGTTAGGAATCAGAATGGAAATATCCTATATGCAGGGTTGTTCGAACCTCCTTAGGGGTCACAGCACACCTTGAGAACCGCCGTGCTAAGGGGTTTCTGAAAGTTAGTCATCATATAATCTTCACAGCAGAACTCCTGAAGTGTAGGTTCTCCTTAGTCAACTAGAGATGGCTTTTCTGATAGGCTCAGCAACAGGGACATGCTCCTGACTGTGAACGCAAGCTTCTCTCTGCCCTTGGGTTGCTGCCTCCGTCTAGAGAACTTGTGCAGACAACCTAGGGATGGACGTGTAGGGTGTGCATATGTTTTGTGTATGCAGAGGCAGGAGGTCGAGTTCAGACCTCCCCCTGGCACTCGCCACCTCAGTTTCTTGAGGCAAAGTCTCTCACTGAACCTGGAGCTGTTTCAGCAACGTTGGGTTGTTTCGGCAAGACTACCTTGCCAGTGAGGAGCTCAAGGAATCCCCCTGCCTCTGCTCCCCAAGCACTAGGATTACATCTGTGCTGAGGCATGCCTAGCTTTTGTTGTTTTTATGTGGGTATTGGTGACAGAAACTTGGATCCTATGCTTGTGTGGGAAGCGCTTTATGATGGAGCCACCTCCCAGCTCTGGGGATGTAGACCCGAGCCACCCCCCAGCTCTGGGGATGTAGACCCAAGCCACCTCCCAGCTCTGGGGATGCAGACCCGAGCCACCTCCCAGCTCTGGGGATGCAGACCCGAGCCACCTCCCAGCCTCTGGGGTTGTAGACCCAAGTCACCCCCCAGCTCTGGGGATGTAGACCCGAGCCACCTCCCAGCTCTGGGGATGTAGATCCGAGCCACCTCCCA